TGTGTTTTTGACAGTCGAATTGGTGGGTTCTGAAAATGATCTGAATTGTTTTTTGTAGAACTGGTCACCAAGAACGAATGAATTGAGAGAAGGAAGAAAATTCGTTGAGGGATCTGAAACAAAATTAACAGCAACTTCTACCGTGTTAGGATCATTATCATATGATTTCTCAAATTCATAACTCAATAATATTCACAATCGAAAAGATTATAGTTGGGAATTTTGTTAGCAATAAACCATCAGCATCACCAAAAATGAAAACGAACATCAAACTCTTAGAGATGAAATTCATAAACTCTCATTCTGCTGTGTTGTTTTTGCAATTTCACAGTTTGAGAAACAAAAAACAAATTATGATCTAACTAACTTTTCCTAGCCTCTAAATATTTTATATCCACTTCACTTCATTGCAATCTCATCTGCTACTACGCATCACGAACACACAATTGCAACAAAAGAATGTAATTAGTTCATCTCCGGTCCCCAAACCAAAAAACTACAACGATTGAATCATCTTTTCTTCTATAATTTCTTCAATCTTCAACGCAAAAAATCGAATTCGTGAGAGGGAAAAGAAATTTTATATCCTAGGAATCGTTCAGTTTTATCGATGAAAACAGAATCGAGACAAGTTGTATAAACAGTGACATCTAGGGTTTCAATGAATGGAAAGAAAACTAACCGTTGCGGAGGGAGATAGGAGGTTGTCTGCTGCTTGTGGTTGTGCTTGTGAAGAGAGAAAGTAATCGCCTCTGCATCCTCCACGCCGCCATCACCAACTCAAAAATTTCTTAAGTTACCAACGTTATGACCAAATTAAGGAGAACATGAAGTCTCATCAACTCATGGGTTATTTGTCAAGACATCGTAGCTTGAGGACCACGTTGCAAATTTTGATTTTAATCCGTATACCCTTCAAAATTAATTTCAACAACATGTTTTTTTTCTATATATAACTAGTTTATAACCCTTAGAAACCATCGTTGCAAAATTAATTAAACTTTTATAGTAAAAACTCAAAAGTATTAATCATTTATTTTAAATACATTATTAACTAAGAGATACTTTTTAGTTATATAAAGTTATAATCGTCAATTTAAATAAATACATGAAATTATATAACCTTATAATCTATATTAATTTTATTTTAATTTTTATTCTAATGTTATTAATTTAAAGTAATTAAAGTGAGAAATTTAAATTTTGAAATTTGAAATGAATAATAAATAGGTTGACAAATGGCATGACATTAATTAGAATGTCTAATAGAGTGACACATGACAAAAAGAGAATAAACATATTCTTTTATTAGAATAGGGATAACTAGTTTACGGCGTGTTTGGCACGGAGCTTTTGGAAGCGTTTGGGAGCTTCTAGCTTTTAGCTTTTGACAAAACGCTCTAGTTTAAACAAAAAGCTTCGTTTGGAACTACGAGCGTTTAGCTTTTAGTTTTAACAAAACGCTTCGATTCTAAAAGCTACTTCATGTAGCGTTTAACAAAACGCTACTGAGCTTTTGAAATCAATTTCCATAATTACCCTTGAAAATATATTTATATATCTATTTATTTATAATCAATTGTCCTTTTATGTAATTTTATATATTTCAAAAACTTCCAGCTACTTTTGCCAAACATTCATATAACAAATAAAAGCTACAGCTACCCGCTACACGCTACACGCTACACGCTACCCGCTACCAGCTAACCGCTACCGCTTCTAGCTAACAGCTACTTTTGTCAAACACGCCCTATAACCCGTAAGAACCACGATTATAAAACTAATTAAAATTTTATATTAAAAAATCAAAATTATTAATCAATTATTTTAAATAAATTATTACTTAAAAGATATATTTTTTACTTATATAAATTTATATTCGTTGATTTAAATAAATACGTGAAGTTATATCACATTATAATATGTAATAATTTTATTTTATTTTTAATCTAATGTTATTAATTTAATATAATTAGAGTGAGAAAATTTGAAATTTAAAATGGAAAATCAATTATTAATTTAATGTAATTAGAATGAGAAATTTAAAATTTAAATTTTAAAATTGATAATTAATAAGTTGACAAGGGACATAATATGTGACGTATAATATTAATGAAGAGTTTTAATAATATGACACTTGTCAATAGGAGAATAAACCTATTCTTTTATTAGAATAGAGAGATTTGTGTTTTAGAAATTTATATTAATCTTATAAAACATAAATTATTATATACAGAAAAAAATAGTCGTATACAAAATCACTTTTCATATTATTATTAGCAAGTCTTATTAAAAATTCTATAACAAAATTTAAATAATGTGTTGTTACAATTCAGAATTCCATTTTATAATAAAAACCTATAAAATTTTAAAGCAATAAACAATTTGCAATGGAAACACTCAAATAAATTCAAAATTCCATTTTATAATAAAAACCTATAAAATTTTAAAGCAATAAACAATTTGCAATGGAAACACTCAAATACTAAACGATTGAAACAACACAAATAAAATAAAACCAAATTAGAGTAAGCAAGTAATAAAAAGTTAGAAAAAAAAAACTTTGAAAAATTTTAAAAGTTTAAAAATATTAAAAAAAACTAAAAATATAAATTAGTTAAAATTATGTGATTGGTCCATGTGGTTTGTCAAAAAAGACGAATTTACGACAACTATTAAAACCTCTACACACTTATGGTTTCAAAAAACTAACTCGCACAGTCTTTTTGGCCAATGTTGTTCGATTTTAGATGTTAGTCGATCCATGTGTCTCTCTATATGAAGGGCAATTTCATCATTCCACTTCTTTTAATGTCATTCTGGATGATTTAAACCTTTCTTCCTCCCTACACACTCTCAAAAGTTCTTAAGTTCTTCCACTAACAGCTTATTCCTCTATTTTCTCCGCAAATTCTCTTAAATTCTCAAATGCTCCTGAAGCTAGTATTGTAAGGCTATAATAGGAATTCGGGGGATGGCTTCAACTTGTTGGATTATGGTATCTATAAGAATTTTGTAAATACAAGCCTTCACGGATCTTGATGGAAAGCAAATGTTGTCTCCAAGTCTTCACATTTTGTCTATATCACTACTGGAGGTAAATTTTGATGAAACTCCCAAATACAACTCCTCAACATGGACTTCCTCTGTATCCTTTTGCATCTCATAATCATCCATGTTGTTCGTCTCATTTCCTTCCCCAACAACATTGTAAACATTACTCATGTCCACATTAATATCTTCCTCAACTACTTGATCATAAAGAAGTACATCATTATCTTCACTTTCAATCTCGATCTCATCATCAATATCATGCCCACTTTCATTACCACCATACTCACCATTAATATCATTCATGTATTCATATATATTAGCAACTAAAATCAATGTTTGGGTCACAGTTTTTACCTCAATTTGGACTCCAACATTATTTTCTATATGAATAGAGTCAATGTTGCCCTGTGAGCTCATTTGAATGACTTGTATCACTTGGGAATAACCAAGGTTCTAAATGGCGTGAGGCGTGGCGGCAAGGCCAAACCTCAAGCTTTACGAGCCATGACGTTTTTCAAGGCGTGATGTAAGACGGCGATTTTATATTAATTTATAATTATTTTATCACATAAATATAAATTTATATTAAATATAACTACTTTTAGAAGTGTTATATCAATAACTACTAACAAAAAGTTAACAAAAAACAGAATAGTTATATCTGTGATTAAAAAAGACATAACAAAGAGCAAAATAACATGTCTCAAACGAAAAAAACACGCGCCATAACATGCCATATCACGCATTGCCACGCGTCACACCTAACAGCAACGTTATGAGGCTTTTCGTAACGGCGAAGCCAAGACTTGGCGCACCTTTTAGAACACTGAGAATAACTAAAAGGAACAATTCCTTGTGTGTAGTCATATTACCGCTCTTCTTGTGTATCATGCACATCCAAGTCTAGTTTTTTGTTGCATGACCCACCATCATTTCTTTTACTTACTACTGATTAATTTAGGGAAAACACAATTATTTATTTCCTCAGTTATAACCTTGGATTGAGGGGGGGGGGGGATGAAATACATATGTACCTAGTTTGACAATGCTCAATGTACATGGAATTTTATTTGTTATGACCCACATATTTCCCCAACTACAACACATCTTGATCACATCCCAAAGGTAACATGGTATAGTCTAGATTAGTGTTTTAGAAATCGGCCTTGGCGGCCGATTAATCGCTTGACGGTCTTGAACCGATTATGATTAGGGTGCTTGAAAGGAAATTGATCAAAATCGGTCAAACTCGGGTTTGGCGGTCATCGACGGGAAATATTTAAAAAAATCCAAAATTTTTAATTTTCAAATATTACACCAATATTTTAATTTTTCAAAATTTTAAGTTTTCAAAGTTTAATATATTATACTATTTTTTTTTAAATTTTAAAATTTCAAATACTTATTTTTTAGGATATATTATTTTTTAAATAACTTTATTAATAATTTAGGGTTCCCGATTAATCCCCACCTAGTCCGATTAATCACTTGATGTCAATCAACTGTCGAACTACCGCCGAACGATTTTCACAACCGTGGTCTAGATCAACTTTAGGAATTCGAAAAAGGTGACAGAAGGTATCACCATCAACGTGCCCTAATTTCTAGATCATTGGATAAAGTTCATGGAATGAAACACACATATATGCCTACGTAGTCCACATAATCTACTTTGTCATCCAACCATCGACGCCCTGGATACTTGGTGAAAGCCCTCCATGATGAACTTTTAGTGTATTCAAATTTAGATAAACTCCCTGTAAAATCAACAAGTTATGATTTTTAGAAAAAAAAACAAAACAAAACCGATAAGCACAACCTAAAAAAAATGAGTGTAATTCAAGTGTGTGCTTACCGTACACATTCTTCAGGTCTCCAATCACATTCTTTGCCCTAACGTACCACAATGTCAACACAATTGTTTGATTCTAGCTTGTATTCAACGTATGAACAAAACCTCAACTTTGAAACTCTTTTCTTGTAAGAGAGTAACTTGATGAAGAAATTTTAGGGGACGTATAATGAAGACAAAAGAACGAACCACCATAAATATTAATAGATAGCAGAGAAAATGTGGGGGTATTTTTGAAACCATAGGGACCAAGCGTGTAGGAGTTTCAATAGTTGTCATGAATCTGTATGTTTTAGTAGACCACAAGGAGCTATCACATAATTTTGTTTATAAATTATAAGTCTACATACTAATATTTCTTTTTTAAGGTTTAGCCATTTAGCTAACCCAACACAAATATATACTTAAATATTTTCTCAATTACAAGGCAACAACAAAAATTTCATTTCAATATTTTACAAGAAAACTATTACTTCACAATATTCAAAAATCACATAATCATTAATAACAACCAATAACCAATTAGTCAATAATTACCTATTGCCCTATTGGATTTAGAAGGACAAAACAGTAAAAAAGGGAAAAAAAATCGGTTCTGATTTGATGCTGGGCCGCAGCCCAGGTCGCCCTTGCCTGGGCCTGCCTTGTATATGAAGCAAAACTGTTTGAACTTTGAAGTTAAGATCGAAATTCATTCGACAGAGATGAAATAAAAGTAAAAGAGATGAAGTCATGAAGGTGAAATTTACAAAAACCCTAAAAAGTAAAAACACGCACATTAAACTTGAATCAATTTCAATTGTCGTCCAATAAAATAAAAAACTTCCTCAACCTGAAGGTTTCACATTTCACAAAATACAAGATCTCCCGTCCCAAACATCCCCAATTCTTAAACCGATTTCCTCTCTCCCATCTTTTAACTCGCAAACTACTTCACTGCAATCACCAAAGCGCCCATCTCAAAAGGTATACGCTCATTCATCCAATCAGTCAACACTGTTTCGTCGTAGATTTCATATATGCCATGGTTCTTTTGGTTGGTTTGATTTCATACAGTTAATGAATTTAGGTTTAAGCTTAACTAATAGTCCATTGCCCTTGAGTTGCATTCTGAACCTTGATTAAGTTCATATGCTAGTCGAGTTATATATTTTAGCCTTTTAGGGTTTCAGATTGAATTATTTTGCTCAAACCTGTTAGTTATCGAGCTTCATCATAACTTATTGGAATGACTTGCTCCGGTTTTTTTGAGTATAAGTGTCGGTTCCATCTAAATATATGGAGTTAAACTGAACAGAGTGAATAATGGAACTCTTTATCTTCCTGAAAAGAATGTGACACACACTAGCAAGTTTTTTAGGTTGAATGGGGATATTTTTCAATTTCAAAATTTATGTAAATCCTGGAAGTTTTTTGTAATAAATTGATGATTACAGTTTACATTCTGGCAAGTGGCATTTAGTTAAACCTGCAAAGAAATCTACATTATAATATTTAACAAGGAGGGAGTAATTCATATGCTTATGATACTCTTTTTTTTGGGTTATTTTGACTTTTTCAGGATGGTGTGCTCATAGTGTGTTTTTTCTTCATATTGTTCCATAATCCACACTATAACATTGGGGTTAGAGCCTAGAGGTATATTTGATGGGTTCACCTGAACATGTAAAAGCTTCTGTGAAAAGGGATGTAGAAGATAGTTCAGGTTCTAGGAGTGATAGGGCCCGAGACCATGAAACAAATGAAGCAGATGAGAGGAGAAAACGAAGGTCAGGAAAGTCAAAACAATCAGGGAGTGGAGAGGAACCTGAAGGATTAGAAAATAGTGGAAGAAAAAGAAGTGGTGAGGAGAAAAGCGAAAGTCGTAAAAGGCCAGGTGGCAGCAGCAGCAAGACAGTTAGTGAGGAAGATGAATATGAGTCAAGATCTAAACAGATGAAAAAGAAACAAGAAGAGAGTGCTTTAGAGTCATTAAGCAACTGGTATCAAGATGGTGAAGGAGAAAGTAGACATGATGGTATTGGTGGAGAAAGAAGTGAGAGAAGAAAGTCAACTTCAAAGGGTAAAGATGAAAGATTGCATGATGGAGATCTTGAAAAGCTTCAAGAAAAAGATTTAAAGAATTCCCAGAAAAAGGAAGTTAGCCGAGAAAAGGGTCAAAGAAAAAGATGGGATGATGCTAATATTGTAAGCAATGTGGATGAAAGTAGTGAGAGTAGAACCAGGGGTATAGATGGAAATAGTGATAAAGCTGTTAAACACCCTGAAAAGGGTAAGAGCAAGGAAGATATTGAAGAAGACAATCAGGAAAATCCGTCAAGTCATGAAGATAAGGATAAAGTTGATGATGAAGATGGCAGGGGTAAAAAGGACATTGACCGTGGTACCAGGCGTCATCATGAAAGAGAAGAATACAAGGAGAAAGAGGAAAGATCAAAAGGGAGAGATGATAACTGGAAAAGAAGGCAAGAAAAAGACGGTGATGCCCCTTATGACTACACCCGGGATTGGGAGTCACCATCGCAAAGACGTGGTGGTGGTGGTGGGCGTGATCGGGTCGACCCGGAAAGACATACGGGTCGTCCAGGTGGCGGCAGGAAAGATGGAAACAGAACAGATGCTGTGAAAACCTCATCAAATTATGGTATTTCAAAAGATAATTATGATGTCATCGAGATTGAAACTAAGCCTTTTAATCATACAAGAGAAGATTCTAATCCAATAAAAACAAACGATGAGTTTGATCAATCTAATGAAGATGGTCAACAAGTCAACACGAATGTTTCTCAAGGTTCATTCAACAGAAACATTTCTGTTAAAGTTAACAGAATGGGAAGAGGTGGAGGAGGCGGTGGTGGAGGTGGGAGAGTTATTCGTCCTATAGGGAGAGATGGTCAACAAGTCAACTTACAAGTCCCGATGATGGGGTCACCTTTCGGACCACTCGGAATGCCGCCACCTGGTGGTTTACAACCGCTTACCCCCACCATGTCTCCGGGCCCGGGTCCTATGTCCCCAGCGGTCTTCCTCCCCCCATTTTCACCTCCCGTCGTCTGGCCCGGAGTGCCACCTGGCGGGCCGGCGGGACCCAGATTCCTGCCAAATATTGCAACCCCGAATAATCCCATGTTTTTCAACCAACCAAGAGGAATCCCTCCAAACATACCGGGTACTAATTTCAACCCGCTTGGACCCATGGGTCGTGGACTACAAGATAAAGGGCCAGGTGGCGGTGGTTGGGTCCCACCTAGAAACAATGGACCCTTAGGTAAAGCCCCATCTAGAGGGGAACAAAATGATTATTCACAAAATTTTGTGGACACGGGTATGCGACCCCAGAATTTTATTAGAGAATTAGAGCTCACTAGTGTTGTGGAAGATTACCCAAAGCTTCGTGAGCTTATACAAAAGAAAGATGAAATTGTGGCAAATTCCGCTTCTGCCCCTATGTATTACAAGTGTGATTTACACGAGCAAGTTTTGTCCCCGGAGTTTTTTGGGACTAAATTTGATGTTATACTCGTGGACCCACCTTGGGAGGAATACGTTCATCGAGCTCCTGGTGTTACTGATCATATGGAGTATTGGACTTTTGAGGAAATTATGAATCTCAAGATCGAGGTAAATTATTAATTTTTGATTAATTGTAATTGTTAGTTTATTAATTGTTTATTTTGATTAATTTCCAGGTAATAGCTGACACGCCATCTTTTGTGTTTCTCTGGGTTGGTGATGGAGTCGGCCTTGAGCAGGGTCGGCAATGTCTAAAGAAGGTATTAAAGATGTCAAAACAAAATTATTTTTTTATCAAAAATTTCAGTAGTGATAATCTGGATTAATCATTTAGTTAAATCTTTAAATCAATTTCCCTTTGTATTGTAGTGGGGGTTTCGTAGGTGTGAAGATATATGCTGGGTGAAAACGAACAAAACCACTGCAACACCTGGATTGCGCCATGATTCACATACTTTGTTTCAACGCTCAAAGGTTGGCAATTGGCAATCTAAATTACCTTTTTGTCCTCCAGTCCATAATATTATATAAAAATAATTGATGCTGAAATTTGTTAAAGGAGCATTGCTTGATGGGCATAAAAGGAACTGTACGTCGCAGCACAGACGGCCATATAATCCATGCCAACATTGATACTGATGTAATTATCGCTGAGGAGCCTCCATATGGTCAGTATATATTATATATTAACAATATTAATAATAATAATAATAAAGTATATATATATATATATATATATATATATATATATATATATATAATTGTGAAATAAAATTTTAAATTTATTGAAAATGCAGGTTCTACTGCAAAACCTGAAGATATGTACCGAATTATCGAGCATTTTTCACTTGGTCGCCGAAGGCTTGAGCTTTTTGGTGAAGACCACAATATTCGCTCTGGCTGGTTGACTGTTGGTAAAGATTTATCCTCTTCAAATTTCAATTCCGAGGTACTTTTTTTTTTTTTTTTTTTTTCCAATTTTGCCCTTTCTGTCTTTTTTTAACTGTTGAGTAAATTACAATCATATTTTGCATTACTACTACTCCTACTCCTTGTGGTTTTATTGATATTATTTTGTTGAAATCTTTCAGGGGTATGTCCGTAATTTTGCGGATAAGGATGGGAAGGTGTGGCAAGGAGGAGGAGGGAGAAACCCACCACCGGAGGCGGGTCATCTGGTGCTGACGACACCGGACATTGAAGCTCTCCGGCCAAAGTCTCCGATGAAAAACCAGCTTCAAATGCAACAGCAGCAGCAACAACAACAGTCTAATTCTATATCCCTGACACCTGGCACTTCCGGCAAGAGGCCAACCGGAAACTCACCGGTCAACCATGGTGGACCGGGGATGATGAACCAGGAAGCGTCCGGGTCTAATATGTCTGGTCCGGTAGGTCCGTGGGGCCCACCTCCGATGGGTCCCGATGAGAGGTTTTTTGAGAATATGTATGGGTATAATGGTCCTTTTGGACCCATGGGTGGTGGTTCTGGTGCTGGTGCTGGTGCTGGTGCTGGTGGAGAGTATATGGATTTTGAAACTCATGGAGCCATGAACAATATGTTGTAGCTACTTTAAACAATTCATAAATTGTTTTTTTTGATAAAATGTATGGGTATAATTGTCTTTTTTATTCATAAAAGATCTTTGATTTTTTTTTAAGTCAAAGTCACATTAATTGACTAATTTTATAGGCATTAATATCATTATCAACAGAACTCATGAACTTCAACATAGAACATTTCTTGGAAGGGAAAATGACCATCTTGCCCCTGGATTCTTAATTTTGTATTATAAATTTGGTGCATGAACAAATGTGGTTTGCAAAGTGAATGAATGTCTATTGTGCCCTTTGAATAATACTTGCGTGGTGGCAACTACTTCCCCAATTAGAACCCAAGACTGTTGCGTGCATTTTGTATACTTTAATTTCTATTAATAAAAAAATATATGTTATTTCTTAAAGAAATTGTATCATATAGATAAGTCTGGACTGTTTCTTATAAAAGCTGTGGGATAATAATCTAATATAACTTTGTTATGAATTAAAATGCCATCTTTGGTATCCTTTAACCTTTTTGCTTTATTATTGTTATTTGTTGATTAAATTAAAACAAAATTAACTACTAATCTTTGAACTAATCATAAAAATTTGGAAGCATTCTCTACATATCCACTACCGAAGACTGGATAATAACTTATCTATCACTCTATCTACATAAATGTTACTTTTTTTAATAATAAAACTATAATTTAAAACTTAAAACACGTCATTCTTGAAAAAAAAAACCCTACAGAACTTTTGGTTCAAATAAAGGAATATCTTAAATGCGTGTTTGAATAACAATTAAGACGTAATGGAATCTGTTTACTAATAAGTTTTATATATCATCTGTTCTCTTAGCATGTTACTGACACTTAAAATACGTTTTCATAATATTTTAAGGGAGCATATCATATAAATATGAAATATTTGAGAAATAACTGAGCACCTAAAAATATTAGAGTAAATTATGGGAATAATCCTTATGGTTTGGGGAAATTTACATGTTTGGTCCTTAACATTTTTTCTAACCCGAACGATTCTATATATTATATTTTTGTTACACGTTTGGTCCATGCAGACATAATTTTTTTTTATTATTTATTATTTATATGCTATTATTATAATATTAACATAAATTAAAACGATTAAAAAATAAAATCAAAATAAAATAAAAAGAAAATTTAAACCTACTAAATTATTAAACGTAATAAAAAAAGAAAAACTCCATTCACATTCTTCCATAGCATGAGACTAACGCCTAGTTCCCGAGTTTAAACAAAGAAAAGAAAGTAAGGAGAGAAAAAAAATAACGGAAAGGAAAAGAAAATTTTCTTTTGTGTTCCCGAGTTGGAGAGAAGTGGAAAGAAAGTTAGAAGAGAAAGTGATCATTCAATTTCCCTTCATTTCCTTCCATTTCGTTCCTTTCATGAAACTCGGGAACACCAATTTCATTTACTTTCTTCTCATTTCCACTTATTTCATTTCTTTTTCTCTCATTAAGCCGAACTCGAGAACGAGTTGTATCACAAGAGCACAAAGCTACTTGATTACTCCATTACTGACGACTTTGCTCCACTACGGCGACTTTGCTACAATCTCGGCTTACAGATCGTCAGAGACAATCTCGTCTATTCCGTCTCCATCGGAAACAATCTCATCCATTCCACCTTCGTCATAGAGCCGTCGGAATGCTCCGCTGTCGGCGACTTAACTGCAACTATATGGCAACTTTGCTGCAATAATCTCTAGCATTCACCTTATTCGCCGACATGCTTCGGCTTAGATCCATTTCCGTTTTCTTCCTCTTGTACCTTGTGTCTCTTTCCCGCCGACAATAGTGATTTCTTGCCTAAAACCTTGTTAGGAAAATATAACCCAAAAATGTGCGAAAGAACAAAATCCCAAAAATTCTTGACTGAGGCCTGTGTTTA